GACAGTTATATGGGTGTGTCTTCATTGGTCTTTGTTCAGCACACAAAAAGAAACTATTCAATACCCACGTGCTGTTTACAATGATATTTAAACTTTCTAGGCCTTGCTACACTTTTTTTCCACTGTAATCTTTTTGTCGCCTTTTTGAATATTATTTTTTTTCACATTTCGGTACATACAGAAAATACAACCATCGTCATGTATATCGGAGACGAACCTTGTCTTTTAAGACAGACTTAATCACAATTTTCATCAAATTTTTATTTGATATTAGACAGCGATACCCACTCCTGCTGACTATGGCCTTGTCATCTTAACACAATCATTTTTCAAAAATATAGGTATAAATATTCTTGTTACTTGGGTATTCATTACTGATTAGTTCAGTAACTTTAATTTCTTCACATACCATTTTGCCAGTAAATCAAGCTATTTCATATAATCCCGTGCTAGCCTCTGAAACCGCGTGTGTTCGATATTGATTGCGTGCTCGATATGTACAACGGGCGGTCAAATTGAGCCTTATATATGACACAGCCATGGGATGAGTTTATTTTTGACCAATTCATTTGATTGGCTGGGGTTCTGTTCTAAGTCAGTAAGATCATATGAAGAGAAATCTTCGTCATGAAGAATGGGCTCCGCTTCGCTCCGCCCATTCTTCATGATGAAGATTTCTCTTCATATGATCTTACTCCGCTTCGCTCCGCCCATTCTTCATGACGAAGATTTCTCTTCATATGATCTTACTATTACTAAATGCTTGCTGGATAGCTCAATAGGGTATTTAGGTAGTATTAAAATCATATGAAGATAAATCTTCGTCACGAAGAATGGGCGGAGCAGAGCGGCGAAGATTTCTCTCCATATGATCTTACTGACTTAGAACAGAACCCCAGCCAATCAAATGAATAAAAAATAAACTCCTCCCAACCGTGTCGTGTCGTATATAATGCCCGAACCAACCGCTCAGTAATAGTAAGATCTTACTGACTTAGAACAGAACCTCAGCCATTGAAATGAATGGAATAAAATTTAAAAATAAACTCCTCCCACGGCTGTGTCATATAAGGCTCAACTTGACTGCTCATTGTACATATCGAGCACGCAATCAATATCAAACACACGCGGTTTTAGAATGGACTCCCAATCCATTCAGGTTAGCACGGGATTATATGAAATAGCTTGATTTACTGGGAAAATGGAGATATTAAAGTTACTGAACTAATGAATACCCATGTAACAAGAATCGTAACAAGAATCGTAATATCTATATTTTTGAAAAATGTGTTAAGATGACAAGGCCCTAGTCAGCAGGAGTGGGCATCGCTGTCTACTATCAAAATAAAAATTTGATGAAAATTGTGATTAAGTCTGTCTTCAAAGAAAGGTTCGTCTCTGATATACATGACGATGGTTGTATTTTCTGTATGTACCGAAATGTGAAAAAAAAAAAATATTCAAAAGGCGACAAAAGATTATAGTGGGAAAAAAGTGTAGCAAGGTCTAGAAAGTTTAAATATCATTGTAAACAGCACGTGGGTTTTGAATAGTTTCTTTTTGTTTGCTGAACAAAGACCCATATAACTGTCAAGTGAACCAATCAGACACCGTTGACTTTTCAGAAATAGAAGAATTAAATCAATTCTTCGCGAAAAATGGAAGCATTTAATTGGCTGAATAAGTAGGTTATGTTCTAATTGTACATATCGAGCACGCAATCTCTATCGAACACACGCAGTTTAATGAATGACCTATAACCCATTCACGTTGGCATGGAATTTTATGAAACTTCCTGATTTACTGGGAAATTGGTAAGGTGATGGTGTTAAAGCTACTGAGTTAATGAATATCCTTGTAACAAGAATCTTAATGTCTAATAAAAAAAAATAATAATTTGGAGTTAAGATGACAAGACCCTAGTCGGCAGGAGTGGACACCAGTCTAGTGTCAAATAAAAATATAATGATGAAAATTGTGACTTAATCTGTCTCCAGAGACAAGGTTGGTCTCTGATATACATGACAATGATTATATTTTCTGTTTGTACCGAAATGTGAAATAATTGTATTCAGAAACTCGACAAAAGATAACATTGGAAATAAAAAAGAGTAGTAAGACCTAGAAAATCTATATATCATTGTAAACAGTTACAGCACGTGGGTTTTGCTATAGTTTCTTTTTGTTTGATAAACAAAAACCAATAAAGAAACAATCCAGCAATGTTAAATATTTCAGAAATAGAAGATTTTTTCACCATGAAAAATTGCAAGAAACGGAAGCATTTGATTGGTTGAATAAGTAGATTATGTTCTAATTTGGTTTAACAAGTACAATGTACTATAGTATTACATTAGGTTTGAATCTAGGTCACAAGGTTACTCAGATGTATCATTAGATTTTACAGGTAAATGTGAGTTGATTTCAACGTTGTATGAAGCCACATGTATGTGCCAAAGGTATGCTGTAAATACATACAATATTTTTCTGTAATTGCAAATATTTGTGAAGTAAAATTGTATCCTAGCTCTGCATAAATCTTCTGTATACTATCCTCTCCAATTGCTTCAAAATCTTGTTACTTCCAACATAAAAAACATTGTAATCTATTATCATGACGTAATGAGGGTAAAATTTCTCGTTTGGACAAAATGTTATTTAGCAATAGCACTAGCACCCATGCTTTATAGATTAAACTGCTTAACATTTCTCAATCCAACATTCAAACATATTTTGTATTCCAAAACTTTGAGTACACTATAATTTGCCAATAAGATTATTTATGGATCAATACATTTATTTCAAAATATATATATATATAATTTATTTAGATTTGAAAATAATTTTTATATGTGAAAACTAGAAGTTCTTAACTCTCACCGCTGAATAATTCAGATTGTGATATTTTGCTTTTATAAAATTACCTATGGGAGAGGACCATCTAATTTTTAGGAACTACGCTTAGGAGCGCAACTTAATGAAAGTAAATTAATCTTTGTAAATCTACTACATGATCATTAACTGGTTTGAATGATTTCTTGAAATTACATATTCTTCAAAATGTGGGTGTAGGAAATCATTGTATTTATAAAAAATGTGAGATTTTCAGAGAAAAAGTGTTTATTTATCAAAATGGCCTGTCTTTAAACAAAAGCATATAATCTATTAAACTAATCATTGTGATGATTTCTTATAACTTTTGTGGAATAAAAAAGAACAATAAATACATATAAATGTTTCTATTAGTTTAATTTTGGTTTTGGTTTTTTTTTAACCATAAGTTTATTTATGTACAGCATATATTTTATCAACACAGTGATTTTTTTGAGGACGTTGAAAACTGCTATTGAGGAATGAAAATATCAAATTTACAATTAATATGCAAAAAAAATGGCATTACTACATTTATCATATTTTAATTTTTATTTCAATAAATATAAAGCATATTAAAATAATCTGCAAGAAAATATTTAATTTGCTTCAATAAAATTGCAATGTATGGCATTATAAAACATTCATGTATATATCAAAAGATTAAAAAAATGTGGTTATGATGGCAACCATAATTCTTATAAGCCTGATGACCATGCTTGATACACATATAATGTATCATTTGAGTAAATCATATATGTATATATAAACAATAAAACTAAGTAACTGAGGTAAGCTTTACAGGTGTATATAATTTAAGATTTAGTGCAAAACTAAGCTCTAATAAACGGGAGCAACTGTTGAATTTCTGTAATAACAATGGTGAAAACAGTCAATATTTCAATTTTTTTTGTTTCTGAAAGTTTCACAAGCATTCATTGAAACTTTGTATTTTGTGTATTATATTTTTTCATATTGCCACCACTTGAATAAACACAATGAAAGTAAGTTAATCTTTGTAAAAAATGCATATCATTTAAGCATTTAAATGATTTTTAAAAAAGATTTTGCAATATAATGTATACAGGGAAATTTTTTTTTTTTTTTTTTTTTTTGCTATAAATTTCAAGCATTCTGATTTTAAAAATACACAGCATGATTTATCAAACAGAATTGTAACTGGACATTTAAAACAGGGCAATATTGTTTTCAAGTGTGAAAAGTGAAAATAAAAACAATAACTAAATAGAGTATCGATATAGAAAACCATTTGTTTAATTTAAACAAATATGGGTAAAAGGATAATATTGCAAAAATGTGAGTGAAAGGGTAGTCTATTAACTAATCAATATGTTGCTTTCATGTATCTTGTGTGTAAAAAAAGAACAATAAATACATGTAAATGATTCTATTAGTTTATTTTTTTTTTCATGTTTGTTAAATTGATGTACATATTTTATCAACACAGTGGTTATTTTGAGGTATAGAAGTCTTGAGGAATAAAATACACATAACTGAAAATGCATAAGAATTTAGTAATATCATATTTTAATATCAATTTATGAATTTTTGCACATATGTAATATATGTTCTCTGTAAATTCTTGATAAAAATTGAAACAGGAACAACATTTGGTATGCTTTGATAAACATACATGTATTTACATGTTTAACATAAGTATGCTAATAATAATTAATTCACATCTACATGAGACATACACATAAATTTAACACATTTGAGTAAATCATTATGGTATATATGAACAATATACATGTAACTAGGTAACTGGGGTAAGCTTTACAGGTGTATATGATTAAGGGTTTAGTGCAAAACTATGCTCTATATAGTAAATGGGAGCATCTGTGAAATATCTAGTAAGTAATACCAATGGTGGAAGGCCCATTACGAAATCCATATAGGGGCTAGGATTCGAAAAGGTGAATTTCGTGTATTTTTATAATTTTCTATGTCTATCTAAATGAATTTACTATAGTAAAATTCGAAAATAGCACTTTTGGTATTTTTTAAAAATTCTATTTTAAAGACAATGGATAAAAACTTAAATATGTTTTTACTTTCAAGCATACTGATTTTTATAATAACCGGTGTATCAAGACAGGTAAGGGGAAAAAACGATTAACAGAATACACCATCCTGATGCCGAGTTCCTTAAACAAAAATAAGAGCGTTTTATCTAAAAGTTTTATGAAGCATAAACTTATTGTCAGATAAGATCAAACTCGGCTTTAACAGAGACCTTGTTTGTTATATCGAAATCTTCAACTCTTATATCCGTCTGTCCAAAATATACTTTTGTCTCAAAGTCCACCAGGTCAGGCCATCCGTTTTCTGGTGATTTGTTGATTATTTTCCCAATTGCTTTAATTCCTTTATCTGTGACGAATGTTAGCCCACCCTTCTTAATATTTTTACCAGCATATATTTCTTTTCGAATTAGTATTTGCTTTCTATCTGGTTGTTTATGACTGCTTTTAGATCTGGAGATCTTAGGTTCATTGTATTTTACTCTGTCCCCTTCGTGAACGAGTACATCAAAAATGTCTTTGCACACCACTTCACCGTCTACAGTATCTCGCTTCTCTTCGGGATGCCTCGATTCATCAAAATCTTGAAGAACACCAATGCCATAGGTATATCGACATATACGGAATTCAACTTCTTCTGGGTTATACCCAAATATGACTGCTCCTTGAAGAACTGCTAGGCCAGGGTCTTTGGGACAACAGAAATTAATACCAGAGAAAACAGAGTGGGATTTTATTTGTTCACATAGATATTTAGAACAGGAAAATCCTCCAACGAGAAGAATTTGATCCAAATGATTGACCTCTTCCAGAATTTCTTTTATCAGTTTTATGATTTTAAGCTTGGCTTCTTCAAAAAACTCCTTGAATTTTGAGTTTTCCACATATATATGATCAAACGTAACCGAATCATTCAATGGTCTATTTCCAAACTGTTGTAGTCTTCGTGGTAGTTTTAACCGAATATTACCATCGGGAGCACTGCTGATTTGTCTTTTTTGCATTTCAAATTCCCTTTCCATATCAAAAGCATCTCTTGGAGCATTTTCCCACAACTCTTGTAGACATGATTCGCTATGGAAGACCGTCTTAATGTGTTTCTCGAACTCTCTGTCAACCGTTGTTCCTCCCCAGTCGCCACCAGAAGCCTTGTAAACCTCTGCTAGTCTACCATCTTCTAAAACATCATGGACTACAACATCAGCTGTTCCCCCTTTTGAAAAAAAATATCAGTATAAAAGGTAGATGCAAATAACTGTTAATCCCTAGAATTAGAAAAAAAGTTTTTCTTTCGAAAAATATTGCATAAGGACCGACATTCATTCTGCAAATCAAAGAATTTCGAAGTAGTAGAATTATATACGAAATATTTTTTAATTAATTTTTAATTTAACCATGCATGTAAAAATGCATTTACCCCCAAGATCCAAGACCATGTATCTTTTATTTGGTTTGAATGTTTCTGTAAGTGTCTGATCGGGTAGAGATTTACAATACATTGCTGCAGCCTCTGGTTCTAAAGCAATTAAAAGTTGAGCCTCAGGAATTCCAGCCTTTAGCAATAAAAAGAAAGGGAGAGAAATAATTTTTCTTGCGCAAATAGTAAAAAAAAATTCAGCTAGACGTTGGAAAATGCTAAACGCAAAACATTTTGAAATTTCAGTTTTATTTCCGTCTTCGAAAAATATACAATCATTGTTTACCTTCAAAGCAGCTTCTTTCATGAAGAGTTTTGCAGATTGCTTCCAAATTGCAGGCACTGTTATCACGTATAAAATGTTGTTTTTATCCATTGAGAGAGACCTGTCTTTCACTGTGGATTCGAAGTGATTTTTCAGAGCCTGAATTGCCCATGCAAAGATATCTAAAGCTGGAAGTGAAAGCCTTCCAGAGTCATCCATGATTTGTATATTGCGTTGGACATTCTGTAAATGAAGAAAGACTGAAAAATTGAATTCGGGTATCTTCTAAATAAATTGAGATTTAGAAAGAAGGGAAGATAACTTACTTTTTCTCTATAAAGAATCATCTTGAAGTTCTTAAATCGATGCCAATCTTCGTTGTTCTTTTCGCAGACCCGTTGTGCATAAAAGTCCTCTGCCTCGTATCCAAAAGAATGAAAAGACTTATCTTTGTCAACAAGAACTGTAGTTGGTGCTTTGGCCCTCGGATCTGGGACCATGTTTCCCGACCACTGATTCAAGGAGATCGATTTTGAGCTTATTTCCTTTCTGTCACAATAAGCGTACCCGGAATAGCTTGTGCCGATATCAAAAGCCACCACAATATCCCAAATATTGCGCAAAGACGTTTCTGAAACCTGAATTCCGTATTTTAAACTTGTTTCCTCTGGGTCCATTTTTGAATGTAGACCTGTATAAGAATGTCATTAATATGATTCATGTCCTAATTAGAATTTGAAAAATTTAAGATAAAAAGGTTTAGGAGCTCTCATGTTGAATTAAATTATTAGCTGATGAAATGAAAACAGGTTAATCAAAATCAGATTTAGCATTTTCGTTATACCGACTCAGCATTCCATGACTTTTACACGTTAGACTTTATAAAAGTGTATACAGCATATATAAGTATAAATAGTAATTACCTGAATTGAGAGTTTTGGTTTTCTAATAAGTTGATCATAACAGTATCACTTACACCGATTGTCGGTAAAGTTGACCAAAAATTGCAGCTGGGTAAATCCCACTCATTCTGTTTTAAATGTCGGTTGTAAACAATCGATATATTTAGCATGTTTAAACACATTTTTCTTTTGCCGCGCTAAGTGTGTCATCATTGCTCTTTGATTATGAACGTATCTTGAGAGAGAAAAATTATCATATGACATTTTTCAATGAATGCATTTTAAAATCATTTCGTATTTTGATGGAACAGAAATGGGATAGGTTTGTTTCAATTCCTTAGTAGACCAAATAATTTTCTTGATTATCATTAGATTAATTAAGGTTCCACTATAAATGGCGAACACACTACATGCCATGGCATTAAGAAGGAATTATATCTCTAAAGCTTGTCACTGTAATTCATACAGAAGTTTTGAAGTGTTAATTAGTAATAAAATGAGATGGATATTTGCACATGGAGACTTCTGTATTACACCATTCTGAATACACTCTACATATGTTGCTTTTGTTATGTGTGTCAGAAGTTAATAACGCTACAGGCTCTAATTTAAATACCTCTTTTCATGCAATTTAAACCAGATATAAATATTTCTCTCATTATGTTGGCTGTATGATATCTCATTGATATCTTTAATTCAACAGAGAACGTCAGAAAATTATTGGGTCTATTTGTCACACTTTATAGTTTTACTTCGGAAAATCTCGCAGGAACCACATGCACCTGACGTTCCTTATTTTTCTTTTAATAAAAAAAAAATATACACATGTGATACCTAATTAGGTATGTGTATATTTTTTTTTTTTTTATTAAAAGAAAAATAAGGAACGTCAGGTGCCTGTGGCAGGGACATATTGGAAACGATCAAGGGGCCAAAGTGAAATAAATAAGTTGTAATAAATATTCATATAATGCAAGCATTAACAAGAAATTTCAAACTCTAAATCAACTTAATTGCAAATAAAACATTTTAAAATACTTTTTTTTAATAAAAAAGACTATTTTATTTGTTTGTTTTTTTCATCAGTTAGATCAATAGTTTAAAGAGGTGTCTTGGAGATCCAACAATTATAATTTCTTGGTGGTATTATTTCCAGGAGTCAATTAAAGTAATTCATAATGTAAAGTAAGCTGCAAAAGAAAATGAATTAAAGTCGACAAGCACTATCAATGCTAAAAAATTCAAGTGATTATTTTTATCTTACGTATACATTGTCTATCGTGTTTACATTTATATATCATTTTATAGAATTGGGATTTAAAGTAATATACATGTACAATATATTATAATTATAATCTCGTTTGGTTGAAGTAGAGAGAAAGATTTAACTTTATTTTAACTTTATTCAAAGCTTAGATCTGCCTCATCTGTTTCATTTGGCTGTTTTTCAACGAAAGATGATGGGGGCCAACTACATGCACGTAACATTTACATCATATGACAAGCGAGTTGACTTCATCTAATCTATCTGTTTATGTAGAATTATTCCGGTTATCATCTGCATATTTTTCCTGTCTCCCAACTTATTCGATACTCAAGAATTTGTTCCGAGTATGTTAAACAAGTTACTGACATACTAGTACAGTGTATGTTGAAGATATAGGAATTCCATCAACCTCATTTGAAGTTAGCAGTTCAAAAATTTAATGTTCGTATAATACCTTTGTTAAAAACATAACTTATACCTTGTGGTAAAATTGACTTGTTTCCATACCAATTTTTTAGATCTTGTACTACATTTGATTTTGGACTCAATACATATGGCCAATGGCTGGTGTGACCAGTCGATAGGAATGTATATACTCCTTCTACACTTCTGATCCCTCTCACGAAAGGATCACTTCATTATAAATAGGGATCAGGGGCCCGTTTCACAAACGTTTCCTAAGATATGTCGTAAGACATAACTTAAGATATGCCTAAGTCATAACTTAGGAAGTTCCTAAGATTTGTCACAGCTGTTTCACGAAACAATCTTATCTTATTTTTTTCCCAAGTCGTTTCTTAAGTTGTGTATAATTTAAAGACTAACGAAATAACCTCTCCGCTCTATCTACAACTCTCAGTATGTTAGTATGGGTTATATTTTTAGCTTCAAAATGGGAGGGGCGGGAGTATTGGGGATTACCCCCACTTTCAAAGGACTGGGACAGAATTATGTTTTAACTTTGCGAAGTTTGCTGGTAGAACTAAGCATTCACAGAAACACCCCTTCAAGCCCTCTTCCCTTCCGGGCACCCGATATTTGTATTTTTTAAACATTGTTCTACGTGTTATACGTTTAATTTATTTTGCTCTTTATAAGGTATCTAATTGTAAATGAAATTCAAAAATGATTGCTTCGTAGCGAACACATGCACATGTGAGGGCATTCTTAAAAAAAAATATTTGCCAGTGATACTCAACGTTAGTTATTCTTGCTGTATAAAGCTTTCTCAAATATATAAAATAAGAATGCCACGCCAGAAAAAAAAGTCCCAAATTCGTGACTACAGATATGAAAATACTAAAAGAAGAGGTTAATAAAGGAAATCTATTGAAATCTCATGCATAGCTAGCTATACATTGTATTATGCGGAGAGGAAGACTGGTTGTAATCTCATGGTCATAAGAACTGACGGAGCACAGGAGGGGGGGTGATAATAATTTCACCGATTTATAGAAAACAAAACTGCGTTATGCTTGTGTCCCCTCAATAATAAAGTCCTAGAGGAGATTAGATGCAACCATTCTTGAGAGAAACATCTATATATCTGGAGCTTGGTTGGTGGTTCATCAAAAATCATGTACTTATAGAAAGTGAACAAGTGTTTCCATTTATCTAAAATATCATTTTTTCAATTGGAATTTAACATTAATTAAAATAACAGTAATATATATAAAAGAAATATACATGTACATGTAGATAAAAAAACCCATAATATGCATGTATAATAATGGATCAAATCATGTGCTAGTTTTTTATTTACAAAGACGTGCTCTTCAAATGATAGGGAATTATTCCAGCATAATTATGTACATCTATTTCGCCAGCTCCAGTTTTGTGAACGGACATTTTCATATACTTTTGACTAATTTTGACACATGTTTGCCAATTATTGAAATCCTAGTACTGAGTAATTTCATGCAAAGTAAAGCAGTTTTAACCCGGAGAGAACGTAATCATCCATATACTAGTAGTCCATTGGATTTTCTCTCCCCAAACACATTCTTTCTCTCCATAAGAAATCTTGGATATGAAGCCGCAATATTATGTTTCTTCCTAAGTCATCAATTTACCTGTCCTAAAGTTACGACTTAACTTAGGAATATCCTAAGATAAGACGAGGTTAGTGAAACGGATAAGTAATGAACTTAGGAAAAAGTTCTTTCCTAAGATAGAACTTGGTCCTAAGTAGGCTTTGTGAAACGGGCCCCTGACCTATAGGACCGGGCTTGGTTTTTTTTTCTCTACGAAAAGCTAAATACATATAATAATTTGTTTTTCCTGAATTTTTATTTCAGTTAGTAGAGGTAGGAGGAACCCTTTCGTTGATTTTCTGAGTTTGTTATCTCCATAATTATGTACTAACTGATATTTGTCTTTACTTCTCATGGTTTATAAAGGTAGTGTCTACTGTCTCTGAAATTATGTTCTTTATGTCTAGGCTATTGATCCGTGGATATAATGAAACATGTCATTAATGTGTACAAATTATATAAGCCTAAATGAAATCCAAGGGGGTGCTTTTACTGAAATATATAGCCAAAATCAATGTGATTTAATTATAAGGAATATATACAATTGAAATTCATTGCAGCTCAACGCTGCTAAGAATACCTGTATTGAGTAACACAGAGTGAGTTATTCTTGTCCTCGAAGAAAGTGTGCTTATACTGAGGTTCGTTCCGCCTGACTGAGAACTGTACATTGGATTGTTACGATTTGATATCTCTTTAGTGTTTCTTATATATCAAGAATGGGCATGCATAAAGGATAGATAATTGAAGGAAAAATACACAAATCTATGTAAAAAATCTAAATAGTCTTTGAAAAGGCAAAATTTAAAAGTGTTGTACCAGGTGGATTCGAACCCCAAGGTGCAAAAAGTCAGCGCTTATATCAACTGAGCTAGTCTGACTGTAAGATTGATTGATTGATTGTATACTGTTTAACGTCCCTCTCCAGAATATTTCACTGATATGGAGACGTCACCATTGCCGGTGAAGGGCTGCAAATTTGGGCCTATGCTCGGCACTTACGGCCTTTGAGCAGGGAGGGATCTTTATCGTGCCACACCTGCTGTGACACGGGACCTCGGTTTATACGGTCTCATCCGAAGGACCGCCCCATTTAGTCGCCTTTTACGACAAGCAAGGGGGAATAAGTGCATAAATTTCAAGCAGGTGATGAAAATCAGGTTTCCTTATTTTTTGTAGGTTTTTTTGTGAATTTCGACCCCAGGGCAGGGGTGCCCCTAAAAAAATCTTATCTTAATTTATTCCTTACATCCTAACCTATCAAAATATCACAATTCTATTTAGGGGCAGGCCTGCCCTAAAGGACTTCAAGGTCAAAATTCATGCAAAATTCAATGCTTTTATCGACAAAATGGTGTTTCATTCAACTTTGGAGGTTTATTGTAAAGTTGTAAATAATAAATTTGAGGTATCAAATACAAATTTGAAAAATTTAGACATATATACGGTAGAAAACAACAAATAAAGACTGATATTTGAATGTCGTTTTTTCCGGGAAATTGTTCTCTCCTATAGGTCAATTCTTTTGTTAAAGCGAATACATCCTTTCCAGGATTCCATGTTTTATGTCCTGTTCAGAGATCAATTAGTATTATTTGTAAATTTTTTGAGATCGTGAAAATATTAATAATTATATTTTGCATGCATGAAATTCTTAATTTAAAAAACGCAAAAACATGCTCAATAATAAATTGATAAAGTCTCGCCTTACGTAAAATCAGATTCTATAATGAACCATATGCAGAAAACAAACAATATTTACGATCTTAAGTCCATAAAACAACTAAAAAAATAGGGGCAGAGCAAAGTTTAACATGCACGTCCAAAATATCAGAGATGGGATCGGATGTCATGAAGGAGTAAGCATCACCTGTCGACCGGTCACACCCACTGTGTCCTCTTTGTCATGATCGGGAAATAATCTGTCGTAAATTCAGTGTATAGATAATAATAATTAGTACGAAAAAGGTCAGTCAGTATCTGACTCATTGATAAATTGTATTTGCTGACAAGGTCATTGTATCGACCATAGAACTTACGAAATGATGCCTTAAAACGAGACTGCTGATATTCATGTTTCATCAACTTGTTTGTCAATAATTTACCTCGTTTAGAAGTTTTTCATATGTAGAGCATGCTCTTGCGTATCGAATCAACTGAGAGATACAAACTACACGTGATGAAGGTATATTGCAACCTGAGTAAGAAAAGTTGTCGATTGAATTCCAATAGATATTGCCAATCAGGAACTCAAGCATCTTTTTGATGTAAACTTCAGAGCAACTGTGTGTAAAGTCAGAATGTTTTAACAAAGGTTTAGACAAATTCCGCTTAATATGAGTACAAAAATAGGTCTGCTAATAACGGGGTCTGATTGGTACCCATGGGTATTCCAATAGATATTGTCAATCAAGAACTCAAGCATCTTTTTGATGTGAACTTCAGAGCAATTGTGTGTACAGTCAGAATGTTTTTAACAAAATAATTTTGCAAATAACCAATGACAATGAAAGTAAATTACTAGTTCCATTTTTTTTTTAAACAGCTGTCAATTATCAAAAAGTCTGGACTTTAATTTATCGTGGAGAATGGTTGTGTATTAAGTTGAAAAGTCGTTAGTCTTTAAGCTGTTGATTTCGGTAAAGCCAATTTCACGATTTCACAATTATCCTATGTATATGTCATCACTTTTTAATTAGCAAAATGAATTTTTTGAGTTTATAACATATAATATTCAAGCTCAAAGTCTAAACGAATCAAATCAAGAGCAGAGCAAAGCCATAACTCCAAAAATATCAGAGGAGCTGTTTCCTTTCGTCGAGAACAACTAAGAAAATATGTCGGTTTTAAAATCACTAAAAGATGTGGAGGTCAGACCAAGAGCATGTCATAAATTAAACATAACAAAATATATAGATACATATTGTATCACAATTCAAAGTATACTAAAATCCACTTGCTTTATGCATGTTGTGGCAAAATATCAAATATATATATATAAGTTTCCTCTTGTCGTTATCTTATTCTAATGCATTGAAGTATTACGTTTGATTACTTAAAAACAGATTCGTAATGAAAGCTTACAAATCAATACTGAAAAGATATACAACACTGACATGGACATATAAGTTATTGATTTTTAGGAATATTTATATCAATTTAAATAGCTCTCATATTTGTTTTTAAAAAAATCATAAAATTACAATTCTCAGTTGTATAGTTTTCGATACTATACTCGTAACAAGAGAGGCTTGCAGCATTTAGTGAGGGCACTAACACCTTATGTTACAGGCGTTCAGTAACCATTGCAACAGGTGCCCTTTGATAGAGTATTTGTTTTCATTAAATTGCTACCGTGTAATATTGCCACTGACAGTCTCACGTTCACAGATGGCAGCAATGGAAGCCTCATATCGGATCATCTTTCTCTGGATCTCTATTGCTGTATGTCAAAATGGTAAGATTCTTGGGAGATATTGATACATTTTCTGCTATCTTGGCATTCGCTAATATCTTTATTTCTATATTACAATTTTAGCGGAGTTTTATTTATGTTTCACAATATATACGAATCATCTAAAAAGCAACTTACCAATATGAGTTTCTGATTGTTACATTTGCAAGATAAGAGCCATCTCAGAATTTATAAACCTTATTAAGTCATCCAACAATAAGAAGAATAATTCATATCATATCTATGCATTTGCTTGCAGGAGTCAGTGGTTTGGATTTTTCATACAACTCATCGAGTGTTGGGCTCTGTGTACACACGATTTTGGATGCAACACTGACTCTAAACTTACAAAAGGAAGAAAAGACACGGAATGTACCTCTAACAAAAGCAACAGTATCGGCTGGAAGTTGCAAAGAGAGCAGCTCAGAAATACATGTAGATCTCCAAGATTCCCACTCCCTTTACATCAGTTTTACAAAAGCAAACGATGGAACTGTATCTGTCTCCTACAAAATTGTCTACAAAAGACAAGGTAATCTGTGGGAAAATATTACATGGAATATCAATCTAAGAGATGATGTCGAAGACATTTTAAACTTAGGAAGGTTCGACTGAATCCATTTTTTGTGGAATTAGCTGAGACATCCTGTGACTAACAAACTGAGTTCTACGCATGTAATTCAAAAGAACAAAACAAGATCTCAAGTAGTTTAAAATATTAGTTTGATTTAAGCAAAATTATTATTTGTAAACAACCAGTACTAAAAAAAATAACATATAAAGGGGTAATATTCAGATTACACTTGTCACAAAGTCACCTGATTAATATTACAAAAGTTAACAAACGGTCAACATTATTCTGAAACCGTAAAAGTCACATACTTTTGGGCTGCTTTTTTATATCATTTTTTTTTGCAGATAAATAATGTTAATATTATCAAGCGGTCATTTGTTACATGTAAGAGGATAAAAATCGACATGTTGAAATGTATATTCTCACTGAAACATATGTTAAAAGTTTTCAATCGATTCGTTTTTAATGCAGGGTTTTTAAGGGGTTTTTTTTTAATCCTTGTTGTGTATCGATTTGAGAGAGATACAGTTCTATGATGACATATCATAACGGAATCTACGAATATGTAATAAAAATCAATAAAATAAACTGAACGATAGTATGTATTTTAAAACATGCTAAATTGCTTTGCAATATTATTTCAATAGAATCAAAATTAGTCATAGCTTGATTTATTAATTATTAAGACATAATGTAAAACGTTTTAACTATTTTTTCTATGAATAATAATTATTATTTTTTATCTAATATATATCATTAGCATTCAAAAAATGTTTCAAAATATTCAGCAGAAATACTTATGATTTTTGTAGTGAAAATATCTGTTTTATGCATGCTCGAGTTAAACCACCAAGAAAGTAATTTTGTTGTTGTTTTCCCTTTTCTAAAAAATAAACATAATAAAGTTAGCCTAAATTAAAGAAAATATTTATTTTGTATGTTGTCCAACCATTTGCTTTGATTTACTTAATGATTTTAAAACAGTATGCAGAAACTCTCTTTTTAATTTTCTTTATATTTCATTTGTTAATTATCAAAGATCCTGCATGGTCTTAAGTTTCAAGAAAACTTTTCACTTAAATATCTATTTAATTAGTGCAGGATTAACCTTTTGGTATTATAAATATTGTTATATAAGCTAATGTCTAAATCAATTTAAAAAATATTGATAATTTTTATGTAAATGAATTATGCAAAATAAAACAACAAATCCATTGATGATTAAGGAGATCAACAGATAAATCAATCAATTACGATTAAGAAAGAATTGTCAAATAAACGAGCACATAAGTAAGCAAGCTAATATATTAACAGTTTATATAAATTTAGCGTTAATTTTAGTCCTGTGTTTTAATGGTTTCTCATCAATGTTTTATCCTTTCAGGGCAGACATCTATAATTCTTGAGAGTGAGCCTGTGTCACTTTCCGGAGCAGACGAGGTTTATAAATGTAACGCCGTTGACACAGTTCTTCTACACGATGACTCTAATAACAATTTTGGAACACTGTTCATATCCAATGCTACAATGCAAGGTTTCGGAATTCAGAACGGGACATTTTCCGAAAAAGGTATAGCTGTTTGTGAAAATACTGTTTTTTAATGTATCCTGTCCCTTCATAAGCATGTTTTTCAAATAAAAAAATAAGTTTTATTTAAAAAAATTCAATACAAAATTTAGATAGGTTTCATACTCATTGAAACCATAATATTGAACATCTTAAAAAATTAAGTTTATTTTTGCAATATGCGGTCGGTTTTTTTTTATTTAAGTGAGGACATGCTCAATAGACAACACAAATTCCACTATGAAGCCCCAGACACTAAATCAAAATGAAGATGTTACGAGTAAAATTAACCTATTTGCGTTGAGGGATGCTGATGGTAATGTCTGCATTAGACTTAGTGGGAAACTAGAGTTAGAATATCTGTATGAGAAAAAAGATGGTAACAAGGTAAGTAATTATGGTTTTACTTTTTTATGTACATGTAATTCTGGCTACATTTTTAAAATAATTGTGCGAAAGAAAAATATAATGAATTTTATCCTATCTTTTTTATTGTTCCTTGTTCTAATATATTAATCAAATCGCTACAAAAAATTCCATTGGTTTTTTATATACTTTTGATAAAATAGATTTTATATACTTTTAATAATATAGATTTCTTTGTCGAATAGAAACGATTTTTTAACCAATTAGTTCGAATTGATATGGAAAAAAGATAGTTCATAGCTTTCTATATCAAAATGAAGTTTATTTTTACGAATAAGTTCGAATAAATGTGAAAAAAAGTTCAAAGTGCAACATTTTAAATTTTATATTCTTATATTTCTTTGACTATGTACACAGACCAGTGTAACACTTAAGATACCGAATACTGCCATTGTGAGTGGATTTTGTGATGAGGAGAAATCTTTCCTGGTTTTGCGCTATAAAGAGGGAGGCTCTAATAGAGTCCTGGCTTTCTACTTCACCAACAAGGAAAATCAAACAACTTTGGAAAACATCGAGACTATCATCAAATTAGACAATGCAACATTTCCGGACGCCAAACTTGCGAATGGTATGATGTAAAAAAGATGATATTAATTTCAAAGATTAAATTCAATCTAATTTTGAAATGACCATTTGTTATGTTATGTTTGTGGATAACGAATCCAGAAAATAAAAAAGATTATCTCTGAAGTACTGATCACTCCATGTTTCTGTTAAGATGTTCTTAGATCGTATGGAAGAATTGGTATACGTCTGGGTTCAGGGGAAAGATTCTACGGATGTCAACACGAAAAGGAATTCTTAGGAAACGACTTCAGTCTCAAAACAAGGCATCTCAAAATTCAAACATCAAACTCTGGAGTTCCTGAAAAATTTTCCGTAGCAAGTATGTTTTTCCTCTACAAATCGTATTTGGCAAACATCAAGTTCAGACTCCATTGCATTGATTTTTTTAAATAAAATTTTTATAAAATCTTACCGAGAAAAATAATTCAAAGCAATATGATTTCACATTTTAAATATCCTTCTATTAATATAAGTAACAGATAAAACAGTAACAGATATAAACCAAAATAAAGTAAAGACTACATATATTAAAAATTTTATAAATAATTTAAACATTTTTAAAAATCTTTAAATACTAGTTCATGTAGTGTTGGGTGATTTGAAAGAAAAATCATTCGATTAATTAACACATTAAGATGAATTAAGATGATTTTTTAAACAAATCAGTGCATTTAATCACAAAATAGAACAATCTATTTTCTTGGTCACCATAATGTTGTATTTAAGAATGTGACATATTTGTTCCCAGGATCAAGATCTGATGCTAACATTCTTTTACTACTGCGCCATGCAATAATTACACTTTATATGTACTAGAATTTACTTCAGCAAAGTAGCATTTTTTCAAGCTCGGAGTATTTTTTTTACCAGTTGAGCAATATATCTTTATGAACATGTACGCTGAAGGTTTGTAAAGATAAATATCATTGTAACAGCTGTACCAGAAAGTACTTGATATTGAATTTTCTGAAGTTTTATCATTAAGAGAATTAATGTCATAAAATGTAACATACTACATTTTAAAACAAATTATGCACCTTTTGGTTACTTTAAAAAATATCTTCATTGTGTATCATTGAATGAAAAATCAATATACCGGTACGTTTATATGCGGTTGAACCTATTATCCTTTTGTTATTTTAAAGATTTTGGTGAAAGTATGACTGTATCATCTGGAATTGATTTTAGTGTCGAAAATTACACGAAAATGTTTGTTTCTCATATATGAACAAATATGGATATCATAATAATGCCTTTCTTTAAGGCCAAGTTTTTCGAAAACCTTTTTGGAACAACATAGAATATAAGATAAAGAACTTCAAAGCTTGACCAATTCAAAGAAGTGAATTTCATATACTGGTATGTTTCAAGACATGGCGAGCGGTCCTTCGGATGAGACTGTATACACCGAGGTCCCGTGTCGAAGTAATTGTTTGCACGAAAAAGATCCCTCTCTGCTCAATGGCTCTGAGTGCCTATCTTTAGACAAAATTTGCAACTCTCTATCGGCAAGTGGTTGCGTCTCCTGATGAGTGAAAGATTCTCGAGAGGGACGTTAAACAACAAATTATATGTTTCAAGATATGTCATGACATGTTTAACTCTCTAAAACATTATTTTTTTTTAAATATTACATGTATCATTAGGAACTCAGTGTCCTGAAGACAGTGTAAAAATGACGGAAACACAGCTGTTCTCTCTGAAGGACGGGAATCAGAGTTGTCTGCTTCTCTCCGGTGCTTTCCGTATGTCCATTCCCTACGACTCAAGGGAAAACAAGGTACTCTTTATACATTCGACATTTTTTGTGTTTTATTTTTACTGCCATCGCTTCTAATGATTATGTCACTTTTGGTGATTATGTCATGTTGTACTTCCAAAATGACAATTACGTTTGAAGTATTCTCTTAAATTTAGAGAAGTGGACATGCTTCGTAGGTGAAAGCCTCCACTTCTCTCTAAAGAGAATAACCCACGACTTTCTGTCTATAGAGCATATTCTATTATTCTTTTTAAAAAATGATGATGAAAAGCAACTGTGTTAAATCTCTCAAATCTTACACTAACCAATTCGTTATAGAGCAAAAAACACTGATCTATGGAAACTTCTATGAGGAAGGATAAAGTGTTTAGGAGGGGTAAACATCTCTTATCTACAGGGTCACACCCTCTGTAAGCCCTCTGTAGTGATCAGAAAAACTAAGTGGTTCATAGTCGAAATAAGTTAAACATGTATATTGCTACATCAATAAGATGTGTTGCTGGAATATTCACATTTTTTGTTGTGTTGTTGTTGATGGGGGCTTTTATTTTCGATAAAAGATTCTTAATTTTCGATTCTTCTTAGTCTTTTTGAGTGATTTTGTTCTGTGTTTTATCTATCCCTTCTGAGGTATGATATGTTTTGTTGTTACAATAGAGGTGAATTGTTTGATTGTCTTACTAGTTTGTTATGATAATTATAAAATGTGTAATTCTTTGTGGTGTCATTAAATGTCTAATGCTTTGCAGTGTGTATTTCTATTGTTAATTTCAGACTGAGAAGCAGCTGGTAAATGTCCCCTTTTCTACCTCTATTGATGTATCAGGGAACTGTAGTTCAACGAAGAAACAGGATATGACGCTTTCCTTCTATGACGACTGGAAATTAAAGTATCGAATTTTGTTAATAAAAAAAAGTTAACAAAAAAGTTCAAATCAAAATGAAAAATGTCTCGTATATTGGACTATCAACAGTTATTTCACAGTTGTTTTAAGACACATTCAATAAGTCGTTCATGTATATATACTTATATGGTACTGTTTATCATATTACTCTATCTACAAACATGGCACAATTGAGAGAAATAATTCTTCCTCCTTGTTGTAGTCTGTGTTCATAGGTTTGTCATAATGGATCCCGATAGTCATATTAACTATATATATGTTATAACTTTATCCAAGTTTGAAATTATAGGCACAAACATCTACTCAGTGCCAAAATCATTTTACCGTATACAGGTTTGTATTCGAATCCACGTCTTCAAGTGGGTCAACCCCAGACAGCGCTATTCTTGGTTATCAACTAACCAATATAAACCTCACTTATGTCCGATCCCCTCTGGTCTTCTACAACCCAAAGGAAAAGTCTGCAGGTATGGTAACTCAGTATATAAACGTACGTTTAACATGAGAATAATCACTATGTCATTCACAATGATATCAATAGTTATGATAATTTAGGTCAGGAAGACGAATGTATTGTTCCTATCTCCCTGAGTTCGTTTAAGCGTCAATCCTTCAAAATCTTGAGGCCTAGTTTTGCCTAATATATTTTGGAGGTACCTAGTCAATATGAAATTATGAATTAATCGGAATATATTGGAATCTTTATTTCTCTCAAAGGGTTATTCTATAAATGAATGTCGTTTCTTTTGTCATTTTATTAGATAGAAGCCTTTATATTGTGGAATCATTTTATTTCGTGGGGGGTCGATGTTTATGGGCAAGCAACAATATTGGTTCGTGGAGGCGTAATTTCATGGGTATAAAGAAGTTCAATAAATGATTATGTTGACGAAATAATTGTTCTTAATGGTGTTAGTTCGTGAATAAGGGTGACCCACGAAATCCAAGAACATTGGTACCCCACAAACTTTGATAATTCAACCTTTACTAATTTTATTTTTTAAAACAACATTCTATTGGTAATAGAGAAGTTGAAGTTATCATGCACGCTTATCATAAAGTGTTGATATAATTTTTCTCTTGTAAAACAAGAATTGTGCAAGACTCTTTGGTGTCTTTTATCTTGAGTTCATAGGGATATTTTCTATCAACGTAGAATAATATTGAATATATTGTATATGTGTAGATTGATAAATCTCATTGGTCATCTATTCTCACATAATCCGTCCACATGCAGCCTGACTTTTATTTAAAAAATAAAGTCATTATTTTGGAGAGAAGTCGATGTTTTTATGCAAACAAAACAATGGAGAATTATTTTTTTCAAAATATCAGAACTTAACCATGCACGATAAGAAAAATATTCAATGACTTATATAGGTAGGGTATTTTCCTCTGTAATTTACGTTATTTTCTTAGGTCGATTTGACCCCCTCAAAAAGTCTTTTTATTGCCAAAATAAATGTTTAATTTATTTGGGTTTTTTCGAACTATGTCTGTACTAAAATATATTTCAAAAATTTTGTTTTTGTGCCAGTGTTTTTCTCTTAATTTGTAATTAACAAATGTTGTTTCCTTTATTCTTATTTTTTACTGAAATAATTCTGTTCTTTTCAGATATTGCATGTCAATGGGACACTCATGCACCTTTTTTTCACATCAACCTCTGAGTTTTTCATATATTTTACAGCGCTTAATATTTTCTTTGGATATTTGTGACAGTTTATTTCTTTTTACAAGGTCAGGCTGTGTCTGTGTCCAGCAAGTCCTTCGATTCTCCACTTAAGGCCAGAGCCAAAGGGAGCTATAAATGTGATGATACTATCAAAGTAACATTTACTGATGATGTTGTATTAGAGGCCAAAAATCTACGCTTCCAAGCTTTCCAGAAGAGCAAGTCCGAAAAATTTTCTAAAGGTGAGTAAAAGCAAAGTTCACATGTTAAATGCAAGTTATGTTTATTAAACTTTTTATTTCGTATATCTAGATCTGTTACTTTTAGTTAAAATCTTAGCAAAAAAAAATCCTCACACCAAGGGGAAAAAAGGTTTTTTTTGTAATTTTGATTATCCAAAGCTTAAAAAGATTTTTTTTTTCGATTTTAATACAGTAAATAATGAATAGTTACAATAAAAAAATGACGATATTCTCAAACTAAATAAAATGAAGAGTTACTTTTAGGAAAACTACGTACTTACGTTGCAATCTTAGATTTTTGCCCCAATTATTGTGTTTTGTATTATCCTGAATTGCTTATTTCACAATTAATATGTTTTGTGTTTTAATGTGTATTCTATATGATATGAATTTGGATAAATGAAATGAAGAAATCGAACATTACAGCGTTTGATATTGTATTACCTGGTACATATTTTTCTTTCAGATGTAAGGACGTGTAATTCGCCCGCAAAGGAGGAAAAACGTTATGCCGTTTATATCATCATTGCATTGGCTATCGTGGCCTTTATTGCAATTATCATCATTGTTTTTGTTGTCTCGTTTAGGAAAAAACAACGAAGTTCCTATGAGAAAATGAATTGATAAGCGGGTAATCCGAGGTGCCTCAGACTCTAACCCCTGCTTTTTATATTGTGACATGTGCAGGGGACCCCTGCACATTTCATAATATAAAAAGCAGGGGTTAGAGTCAGAGGAATCTCGGGTTAATAAGGGAGGGAAAATGTATTTATGGTCATGTGTGACAAAGTCTCAATTTTTTATGCCTCCACAATCAAAGATTTGGAGGCATACATATTTTTCCTGTCTATCCGTCTGTCTGTCTGCAAAAACCTGGACCTTATTAACTTTCGATTTTAGTTGGAGCTATGCCTTTCATATTTTCTCAGTATATATTTCTAGAGACAAGACCATTCTCGGGTAGCAACATATTTAACGTCTTAGCTATGGAGTCTGAATCATTTTACAAAAATTTTTTTTACTAAACTTTTGTTTTGGAAGATTTGTGCTAGGGCTTTCATAATTCACATGCTTATTCTTTGCGACAGTTTGTTTTCATAAGATCAATTTTTATGCCGCTGTAATCAAAGATTCGAGGGAATATAGTTTTTGTCCTAGCTGTAAGTCTGTCTATTCGTTTGGAAAACTTCAACCTTGCCCTTTACTTTTATTGGTTGAAGCTGTGGTTTTCATGTTTCACAAGTGTATCTATTCTTGGTGAAAAGATCTTTCCTTGGGCATAAAGATATTTATCATCATCTTGACTTTGGCCCTGGAGTTTGACGCACTTTTGAAAAAAAAGCCAAACTTTAACCTTAGCCGCATCTTTTGCAACAGTTGGTGCAGTAAAATTTAACATGTATATTTTTTCAGACAAGGCCTTTCCTTGGGTGATGAATATTTTTTACCCATTGATCTTGATTTTAAAGTTTGACTCATTTTTATAGAACTTTAACCTTGGTCATATCTTTTGAACAGAGTACTAGGTCATGTATATTTTTCACAGCTGTATTCCATGTGACAAGATCTTTTCCTGGGCATCATTAACTTTGACTTACTAATGAAATGAAAAACTTTAACTGTGGCTATAACTTTTCCAAGGCAGGAGCATAATGCAAACAAGTTATTATCAAAAATAACTCAAATGTTAATTTATTTTGTGTCATTCCTCGCTAACTTCACACCACTTTCACCAAAGGTTTTTGCTCGTGCACCAAGACAAAGGCAAATGTTTGATTAAATTTACACCTTGCTCTATCCAGAAAAATTGTTCAAAGTCTTGGAAAAATTGGGATTTTTTTTTTATTTAATGATAAAAATTGGACATATACAATGTATATAAAACCACAAAATATGGAGTAAAATGCTGTTTTATTTCCACCTCCTCGCCAATTCTCCATTGGAGTCGGTGCACTCTAGTATTATATAATGGAATCCCAAAATGCAGTGCACTTTGGCAGGAAATACAAAACTCCCAAGAAATCAATGTTGTCCAAGTAGGATATAAAAATAACTTAGTGATTATTTTTAAAATTGTGTGTAAAATAACTAAAGCTAAAGTTTAATTTAACTAAAACTGGAGGTACTCTGAGCAATGAGCTCACTAAATGATACCCCCGCCTCTCATATGATTATAATGGAAGAAGTCCATGTTTTGCTGTGGCCGGAAAACTCAAAATATGTGTCGGATCAAAAAATAAAATAGGAGGTTCACAATGGCAATATGTAATAAAGATTCTGTGAAAGTTTCATTAAATTTCCTTCAGTGGTATGAGAGGAGTTGCGGATAAGAGATGGGTATCCCAAATCGTAACAGACGGACGGACGGACATACCGATTACTATATACCCTCCCACTTTTCAAGCGGGGGGTATGATAAGTTATTTTCTGATAACTTGTTTGAGTTATGTCCCTGACTGTTTGAAAAGTTAGAGAACGGGCTTTTATTTTTCACGTGTGTATTTTTTTTTGTGACATGACCTTCTCCTTGATACCATTATCCTGTGGTTTTTATTTACTTTAAAAAAATTCACCTTATCCGGCGTCTGGATTTAATATTCATAGAGACAAGTCCTTTCTTTGGGTAACAATAATTTGATACCTTGCCGTTTGGATTAACTTGCATTTGAAAAACTTAAACCTTCACCATAAGCTGCCATATGGGGCATCAGTGTTTCACAAACGCATCTGGTTTTTCTACCTTATGATCTTGTCCTATAGTTTGACTTTTATCTTGGTCATAACTTTTGAACAGCTTTCATATACTTCACATTCTCTCCCACTATTTTCTGCAAATTACAAACATTTTGTTCACATATCATTTAACACAAGTGTGTATTTTTCAAAAGTTTTATTGACCATGTCTTAAAACATTTATCTAATAGTTGATTTTGTTCAATAAATAATTTTTTCATGGTTTTTTCTTCAAATTTTATAATTAAATATATGGGTATATACATCCTTGTAGCATTCCATGATTCTGACTCACAAGTCTGATATCCCATTTGACTTGTACAGAATTAGTGAATACCGAGTACAATCATCAGCTGTATGTAACAACATCACTTGTACATGTAGATGTATGACAATGCTTCACCACCACCTTTTTGATACTCAATTCTTTTCAAGAGCCATTGATACCAGGTATGAAAGAAACATGCCTTAATTTTTCACACTTCAAAATATCTCATACAGATGAATCGAGGAAGTGGCACAATATTCCTGTAACTAATGGAAATTTACATCAACATGTCATTGAAATATTACCTGTAATGCTATTGTTCACTTATTCATTTCTATGAATTAGTTTCCCGCAAAATAATGTCAATGAACAAGTTAGTGTGTTTGTCCCAACAAGATGTTCAACTTGAAATAGCATCTGGATAATTTTAAAGTACTAAGTAACTGTTGCACTTTCCATACTAATCTAATTCTCATGAATTTTAATTAGCTTTCAAAACATAAAATAAATTCACGCAATTTTAGAAACATTTGAATCTTTATTTACTTATAAATAAATACAAAAAAATGGCGAACATTACTTTGTTTACTGATGATAATGAAGATACATGTACATGTTAACATTTTTAAAATCAAAGGATTTGTGCTGCCTCTTAAATGGACAATATGAAATATTTATCTTCTTGCAAGACAATGCATTTTATCCTGAGTACAATTTATAAATAGGAAACTTTAATTTGAATAATCTTAACATGAGCCAATTGACTGTCTAATGATACCTGATTCATTGTATAAGAGTATTTCATTTGATACAATTTTTTTTTTTTAAAGTTTGAGAATTAAGCAATGAGACATCCATGCCTATTACCCTCTATTCCTCTTTGGTATTCCTTGCTCAGCACTCTTCTTTTCACTTAGACAATGATTCCCATATTAAGAATAAATTATCTTGATCAACGACCAATGTCATTCAACAACAATGAACAGGAGAATGTTTCCATCAACTAAGTCCCTTGAAGAAATCATGTTGTAGAGCTTGGTCCGCTGAGATTCTGGTGAAGGGGTTCATGTCCAACAGCTTCCTCAGTAAATCAAAAGCCGAGTCCGGAACACCAGACCAGGAAGTGAAGGCATCATTTTCTTTATCACTAAGACTGTCCCTCTGTGAAGCGTGATGTTTAGCGGCTGGACCTTCTCGAAGTCTGGTGCACAGAACTTTTAGGTCCACAGATTTATTACCGGGGTGACAAATCAAATGTTTACCTTTGAACAAAAATACATAATTTTCAGTCTTCTTCATTTCGAAAGAGATAATGAATTAAAAAAGAAAAATTTTGTAAAAGGTTTTTCCAAAAACTACCATTTACATCATTTCTATAGATATTTACATTCTGCATAAGAAAAAAAAATGAGTATATATGCTGTTCAGCTGACATCTGCATCTAGATTAGATTTCGATACAAATTTTCAAAATTCTAAAATACTTCGTAAATTACAAACCATATGCCTTGGCAGATTTGCTGACTTCCTCACTGCCCATAATGCTTATGATCTGTGCTAGCGCTGTCATGTCGTCATTGGCTCGAAAGAAAGGATAGCGTCCACTCAAAAGGGACAGAAAAATCACCCCAGCTGACCATATATCAACAGCTGCAAATAAATATGATGTAATGAATCAGTATTTTATACAAAATTAAAGGTATTCTATACTAAATATTGTATAGATAAACAACATCAAATTACATACATACCCGTAGTTTGATCAGGAAATTTCATCAAGACTTCTGGAGCTCTAAAACCAGGTGTTCCTGCCCTTGGTGCCTGCTGATTCATTCTACGACACAAGATAACAATTGAATTTCAGGCCATATTTCAAAACATAGTTTTTAATTAAAAAATAAAGCAGTTATAAATAGACATTATTATTTTACAATACTTCAGTATTAAATCAACACATTTCCAATAAAATATCAGAAATTTAAAATGATGTAGATTAGAAAATGGCCCTTTAGGGATTCTAACTCTCAATGTCAGGAACTCCATGGTTTTTATCTTATTACAATTTACTATGAAAACTTTTTGTATTTACCATGTGTGTAAAATTTTATGATTAATATACATATGCATTCTGAAATCAACAAACAATCTACAATGTAAAATTATCTTTTCCTACTTTCAATTTACCTTGCATTACAAATACTGCAGACTTGGGGTTTTCCAAAGCAGTCACATGTGGACAACACTGCACTTGGCTTTGCACCCTTTTCAAGCTCACTGGGTTTATTTTTAGCCAGAAGTGCTCTTTTCGCTAACAAAACCCTTCGAGGAGACTTAATTCGTCTTGCAAATGTAGAGTTCTCTAATTCTGGAGTAACATAACTTTGTGATTTCTTGCCTGCTGCTATTTTCTGAAAATTGGTAATGCCATCACATGAGATATATGTATAAAAAAGAACACAGGTATAAAAATTATCCTTAATATGAATATGTAATAAGACTGTTATCTAAATTTTATACAACAATAGCCCTTTCATTTGGTCAATACCTAGATTTCACAAAATATCCTATTTACTGAGCCCTAAGTAAACATCTACATATCTTTGTATTGAGTGAATCAAAGGCAACATTTGTTACATCATTTTCTTTGAAACATACAAATTCATTATATAAGAATATTGGTTAGCTTCAAAATTAAAGACTTTTCACAATACAACTTCAAATCCTTCCTATGTTATCCCCCTATGTTCATTTTTAATATTGTGAAATATAATTTTGCCTGTGATGTCATTCAACCAATACTGACCTGTTTATTTTGTTGTGAAGATGAGGTAGGAGATAATGGATTTCTTGTAGATCTGCCCGATGTTGTGCTCTCTGTTTTCTGACTCTTCAACTTCATTTCGTTTGGCTGTGACTTTACCTTGTGTGCCAAACCAAAATCCACCAAAGCATACCTGAAAAACAACAGCAGGTCACCCATGTGTTTATGATGTTATTAAGCTAAAACACTTGTAAACTTTACATCTTTACACTGCAATTGTTATTTGTTTTCTAAATTGCTAGTACAGTTTTCCATGGTCACTTACTGTTTGGTTACACTATCATACAGGAAGTTGCTTGGTTTAACATCTCGGTGGATAACTTCAAACTTGTGAACTCGTCGGAGGGCAATCAACAAATTTCTCATATATTCCCTGACCTCACCGACACTTAGAGTCAGTATGTAGTCCTGCAAGACAATGAATTTATATTTAAAGCATACAAGCAGAAAATAGGATCTAATTTTGGCACTTATCACTGTACAAAATTAAAAGTTTCAACAACAAAAAAATAGAGAATTGTACAGTGATGTTATAAGGTTTAAAATAAAACATCTATAATTGTTGTGATCATCTCCCCAGGTACAGCATAAAGAAAACTGATCCTACCTGGAACTTTTTATGTGGAAAGTAGGGCATCACTATGACAACATGATCCTTGTGTCTGATGCAGAGTTCTACTCCCATAACATTGTCACAACCACTGCAAAATAAAATATTTCACAAACAATCAACAAATTACCCCTTTAATTTGCTACTGAGAGCTGAATGTGGTCAACAT